GCCTCCTCGGGAGTGAGGCTGGGAGTGCATTGGCTGCCAGCCCCGCCCCTGGGGACTATCGAATAGGGGTGTAACGGGTAAGATTTCATGTTGTTACACAACTATTCAATTACATGCTCTCTTCCATCCCTAGCCAGGGGCAGAGCTAGTGGTAGAAGCTGGGGTCCTTTAGTCAAATATATCCCCAAAGATAGAAGAATCTGATTTGAACAAAAAAGTGTTTTAATAGCCACAGGCACAGGGACATTGCATGACTGATGGGTAGGCCTCAACACGGGTAAGATTTCATGTTGTTACACAACTATTCAATTACATGCTCTCTTCCATCCCTAGCCAGGGGCAGAGCTAGTGGTAGAAGCTGGGGTCCTTTAGTCAAATATATCCCCAAAGATAGAAGAATCTGATTTGAACAAAAAAGTGTTTTAATAGCCACAGGCACAGGGACATTGCATGACTGATGGGTAGGCCTCAACAGTGGATTTAGTCCCAGTTCTACAATACTCTGAGCTTGTTTAATTTTAAAATCCATATGCATAATGAAACTGCCTATATTTCCCCCCCTCTTCATATCGCAGCGAGCTGTGGCTAGCTGCTGCAAGCAGTCCCTGGACCAGCGAATACAGATTTCCCCCTCACACATAGTGGGCAACTGGGGTCTATGGAAACAGGAAAGAACACAGTTCTGTAGAACACCACAAGAAATGCAGATTCATTTCTCACGTTATCTTATTATAAATATCAGAGGGGTAGCCGTGTTAGTCTGAAAAAGCGGCGAGGAGTCCTGTGGCACTTTATAGACTAACCGAAGTGTTGGAGCATAAGCTTTCGTGGGCAAGGCCCACTTCGTCAGATGCATGTAGTTACCCTTGGAGAGTAGCGTCCCAGTGGCTCTTGCCCCTCCAGGGGCAAGGTGTAAGAGTATGGGGCAGGGCTGATCTGTATCTTCATTGTGTTTCCGGTTTACTAGGATTCAGATAAGATACATTCAGTGTTTTGGAAGCCCAGAAAAGACTCAAGATGCTCTAGTCCTCTAAAGTGAATTTAAGTCACGGCTGGGGGGAAAGGGCGGGGGGGGGTTTTCTTCCCCTGTCTGTCTTTTGCTGTGAAGCAACCAATCAGAGGTGCTATAGGTAGAGTTCTCTCTCTCCCCCACCCCCCATAGCAACCAAAGTCATTCTCACAGGAGGGGCAGGCAGCAAACACAACTCAGCAACCTCAGGGTGACTCAGCTCTCTCCTTCCCCTCCTCTGAGCAATGGCTCAGTGATCAAGCCAATGACCCGTGAATCGTTTTATTCTTCCTGACAGCCCCAAACTCTGGTCTGTCCTAAAAGGGCCAGGCCAGGCCAGACCACCTGCTGTTAAAATCCATTTGGATCTGGCACTTTTCCATTCACGGTGAAAAAAGTTTGAACTGAGCACAAAGAATTTACTCCTTGGGCAAAAGGGATGTAAGGGGGGGGGGGGGAGAAAGAATAGGGGCAGTTGCCAAACACCAGGAGAGCCCTCCTTTTACCACCCAAGATGCCTGCTGGAAACATCTTAAGACTGAACAGATTTTCCATTTTGAGCAGCTGAGGTTCTGGCCTCTCAACTCAGTTACAGCTACTGTACAGCTGCTGTTCACAGGCCTCTTCTGGCTCTCAAAAAGGGACCTGGAGCTAAGCAACCACCATGAGGAGGTTCAATCCAGGCCCCTTCTGTTTTTAGCTGTGTTCAAAATCTCTGTAACCTCTAGATGCCTGTAGCTACTTCTCCATACAGCTGTCCCCCCCTTACCGGCCAGCCCCAGGTCTTCCCGCAGAAAGCACACCAGAGATCAACAAAACAGTTAAAAACAAACATTAGGGCCCTCACATGTTTCAAGGCATGCAGCCGATGACTGCTCAGTATTATAACAAAATTCAAATGCTCTTTATTTAAAAAAGAACCCAACAAAACAGACAGACTCCTAGATCCAGAGAGAAGGGCACAGATTTCACTTTCATCTTAGTTTTTAAAATATGCATTAAAATTAATATAAAACCATTCACCATGTCCTACACCTCATTTTCTCGCATTCTATAGCCAGGGAATGAGAACTCACAGCCTCTCCACCAGTTCAAAGTCAAGGCAATAGCACTGCTAAGCTGCCAGGGGCCTGGCAGAACCCGGCATCCATTCTTTGCAGCATGTCACTTCAGAAGGATCCAGTGGGATTTCCTACTCTCCCCCCCCCCCCCCCCAAAAAAAAAAAGTGGAATGAAAAACTGTTCTCTGCCTCTCTCTTGTAGAGGCTCCAGTTTAGGACAGTGGTTCACACTGAGCAGACACAGGAGCTTCCCTACTTTTCAACATCATGTAAGCTATAGTCAAGAATTCATTAGCGAGCCTGGGACTGCAGCCACCTCCCAGCATGGCTGGTTTTATTTATTATGGTATGTCTGTGTCACCCATCACCATCGTATCTGGGTTCACTGTACCTTGCTAGTGACACAGATGGCTCCCAAGCATGGGAGCTGGTTTTAATAATCTCCCTGTTGAGCGTTGACAAGACTTCCTTTGTGAAAAGCCACAGCACCCACAACAGGGCTGCAGGCTGCCCCTCTCCCAGGGCTGCTACGACACCGTGAGCAGCAGTGTGCAGTGAGACAGTCAGACTTATGATGTGTGACAGAACATGAAAACAGTTTCAAAGGCTCCAGTGTGGACAGGCCTTAGCGTGGCGAAGAGAACTCAGTCCTGGCTACTCCTTCCCAAATCTTGGCTATTTATTTTCTTCAGACTTCACTGCCGCCAGCAGCAGAGTTTCTCAATGGCCTGAGGGATTCTGTGTCTGTGGCCTTTGTGCTTCCCAGACGAGTAACACCACCTCGAGAAACCAGCCTACTCCGGAAGGCGCCACACACAGACCATCCCCCTGCCCCACTCCTGACAGCAGGCACCTGGGATTCCTTAGGCCACACAATCATTTCCTAGGGTTGAGGGCTCCAAGGGGGGAGCCCTGCACATAGGCCATGACGGCATTTTGCAGGAAACTAGCTCGTTGGGCCTCCTCTTCCCTCATCCTGCAGATCTCAGTCTCTTTCATCCTCAGCTTCTCCTGGAGAGTAGAGATTTCACTCTCTTTGTCCAGCAGGGCCTCCCGGTGGTTACTTGATAGCACTGTGCAAGAAGAACCACGTTAGCATGGGGCGTGGGCATGTTCTTTGCTTCAGTGGAAGCATGCCTGCAGAGACAGGCACACAGCCCAGACTGCTAGAGGCCTTCCCTGCTAGCTTTCTGAGAAAGCCCAACAGGACTACGGATGGGTGATGCACATTTGTGTGCTGTGTGCCATGGTGCTCACAGGACTGAGGGTGCAGACACCTGGGTTCTAGCTCTCCCTGCTGTGTGAACGTGAGCAGGGCACTTCACTTCTGAGCCTCAAACTCCCATCTGTGGCATGGGGCTAAAAAGCGTGAGGCTTTCCCAGGGGCTCTGTGCAGTTCCATTCATCACCACATGTAGAGCAACTGAGGTCTCCTCACCTCAAAAAAGATATTTTGGCCTTGGAAAGGGTTCAGAAAAGGGCAACTAAAATGATTAGGGGCTTGGAACAGGTCCCATATGAGGAGAGGTTAAAGCGACTGGGACTTTTCAGTTTAGAAAAGAGGCGACTGAGGGGGTATGTGATAGCAGTCTATAAAATCATGAGTGGTGTGGAGAGGGCCGATAAAGAAAAGTTCTTCATTAGTTCCCTAAATAGAAGTACTAGAGGACACCAAATGAAATTAATGGGGAGCAGGTTTAAAACGAATAAAAGAAAGTTCTTCTTCACACAGCGTGTAGTCAACCTGTGGAACTCCTTGCCAGAGGAGGCTGTGAAGGCTAGGACTATAATAGAGTTTAAAGAGAAGCTAGATAATTTCATGGAGGTTAGGTCCATAAAAGGCTATTAGCCAGCGGATAAAATGGTGTCCTTGGCCTCTGTTTGTCAGAGGCTGGAGAGGGATGGCAGGAGACAAATCGCTTGATCACTGTCTTTGGTCCACCCTCTCTGGGGCACCTGGTGTTGGCCACTGTCGGTAGACAGGATACTGGGCTAGATGGACCTTTGGTCTAATCCAGTACGGCCGTTCTTATGTTCTAACTGGGAGCAGGAAGGAAAAGGAGTGTTACTGTCAAGGGCAGCAGCAGGTACCATTCCGCCTGATGGTCTAGACCACGAGGGCGGGACTAGCGATGACATGACACCCCATTCTGCCCCGTGCAGCCTGAATGGCAGCAGCAGGTGGTTAATAGTCACCCAACGCATCCACCCATCACCTTTCAATTGCCTCTCCAGGGCTGCGATCTTCTCTCTCAGCCCCTCCTGTGCTGTCCTTTCCGCCTGCAGGTGTCCAAGCTGCTCCTGCAGCTCCACTCTCACCTTGTTCACCTCTGCCACTTTCTCCTGCTCCTTGCCACTCAGCTCCTAGCATACATAGAACAAGCCTATGAGAGGCCAGCAACCTCAGCAGGCAGCTCTGCATCAAGGCTGGCATCCCTCCTGCCCTGGTACCTGCTGCAGCTCCTCTATGCGCCTCTTGAGCCCTTCGGCTTGCAGGGTCAGCTGGCCTGCTTTGGCTTGAGCCTCTCCCACGGCCTGCTTCTGCTGAAGGCAGAAGTTCTGAGCTTCATCACGTGACTGTGTCATCAGCCGGAGCTTCTCTTCCAAGTGATCCAGGCGCTGTGTCTGTAAAACACAAGCGGATTCTCCCCAGCCTGAGGTCACGAGCAGGGACTGGCCCAGCAAGTGTTTGGAAACGCTGTAGGGAGTCACCCAGGGTCAAGCCTCTCCTGCATTGAACACAGACTAGTGCCTCGTTCTGGTGAGGGAGGTAGTGTCCCTGTGGAAGAGCTGCCTTTGGAGGAGATGTAAAAACCAGACCCTAACCACCCACTAAAGATCCCAATGGGCATTTCACAGGGCTAAGACCATTAATGCCAGAGTCCTGGATGAGCCCCAGTTCTGGTATTTATAGCCTAGTGCCTGAGTTCATTTGAATGTGATGCAGCATCCCTCAATCCGGTCCTAAATGCACCTGCTTATTCAGCTGCTACATCCCACGTCAGACACGCTGCACTCCTGCAGTAGCAAAGTGAGGGGGCGGGAGGGTTTAATAAGCTCAAAGCATTTTAGCTTGGGATGTAAGCTGCTAGAAAGGGTCTGGCTCTTGAGGGAGTATCCCAACTAGCCACACAAGGGGCACCCCCACCCTGTGAACTGGTTTCACTCCAGTTTTCACAGGGTAACTCAAAATAATATTTCCTGTCCAACAGCAATAGCCAAACCAAGCCTGGAGAACTGCCCAGCAGCTCATGAAGTTTGCTGATACAGAACAGCAGAGGGGTCCAATTATCTGCCAGCACCATGAGCACAAGCAGTTAGAACACCACCCCGTTCCACCAGAACCACTGTTTCTATGCTTAACAGGCTGGTATGCACTGGGCTACTGGGGACAGGGGGATACTGATGAGACACCGAGGCGTGGAAAGCGCAGATATCGCTTGTTACAGACATCTCAGGGTTACTGCCCCTCACTACTCAGGGTAACGTGGCCAAGAAGAACGAGTTACTGACCAGGCACTGGAGAAAGGCACATGCTGGACAGATCTGCTCCAATGCCACAGCCAGCCCTAGCAGCTGGGTCACAGTCTTACCTCTTCCAGTCTGACCTGGCCCCGGACTTTGATTAACTCCTCCTCAGCCTGCCCTCGCTCAGCCAATGCCGCTGCTTTGACTCGGCTCAGCTCCTGTCACAGACACAGAGGACACTCGCATTCCAGCTACAGGATCACAGTGCAACCCGAGTCCAGGGACGAGATAGGGTGAAAAGTCCCCTCACGCAGCCCCTGCCCTCAGGAGATGTTCTCCATGGGCCTTAGCTCACAGGCAAGTACATCACTGCTGCAAGCAACGTTTAACTCCCCTGACTGCGTGCCGAAATCTTACCCCTCTCTGATCCAGGATGGTATTTGACCCCACTCTGCCACTACCCACAGAGAGAGTTTTTGTTTAAATGGGAAATCAAAGGAACCTCTGCCTCAGACCCCTCATCTGCACATCTCTGCTCCAGCCTTCACAGCACACACAGGGAGTCCCGCAGGCCAGCACTGGCAAATTCTGAAGAAGCCCCTTGTTAAAATATTGCCACTGCAGCTCTGCCACACCCAGTGACTCCCAGACACACGTGGACCCAGCTCACTCGCTCTTACCTCCTCCAGCCCGATCCGGACAGCTTCCAGCCTCTGGATTCTCTCCTGCATGGAGCGCTCACTTGCGTCCATGTGATGTGTCATGTGATCCACCTGCAGAGCAGCAGGAACCATTCCACTCAGTTTCTTGTTATTCCCAAGATACAGCAGTCACCCAGCTTTGGGAACAGCACACTCCTCTCTAGCCAGTGACTGGCAAGAGCAAACAAAAGCTTCCTTCTTCCCCACACCACTCTTCTGTGAGGCTCTGACACAACTGAGCAGCAATGCTCTTAAATGGGAAACCAAAGCTTTGCATACAAATTCCCCCATGTTTTTGGAGAAAGGGGGTTAGAGTCAACTCCTGGGAGCTCATCTCCTCCCCTCTCCTCCCACATACAGAGCTCGGTCTTGGACTAGAGCCAAACATCAGTAAAGGCCAGGCCCCAGCTGGGATGTGGGATGAGGTCTTGGGTGGATCTGGAGCAGATACCTCATGAGATTTCCACACACATGCCCAAGAACAATTAGCAAGGTTTTGGTTCTGACAGCTTCAACAGACCCAAATCCAACCCAGATCTGATCACAGCCGCCTCCTCACTACCTGTGCCAGTGGAGAATCTGCCCCTGCTCCCCAAGGAGGAACTGCGAACAGAGCAGGGATTCAAAGCAACCTGTGCTCGCACCGGACACACCACTGCACCAATCTTTGTCCAAAACACACTTTGTGAGGCATCATGTGAAAATAACTTGCAGGTAAAATATACACAATTCACATAGCAACATTATATCTGAAGTTATGACCCCCCCGCGTAGGACTTGATGTGTTCAAAGCCAGAGAGTCCTGCCCAGGCAAAGGTTGTTAGACAGACCTATCCTAAGCAAAGGGATGTGTGCTTGCCTCAGTTTACATATAAGTACTAAAGGGAATCTTCAAGACAGTGTGTGTGGGGGGGCTGGGGGGGAATCAGAAAAAACGCAAATTGTTCCGTTTCATGGAATATGAGCAGGGTTTAAAAAACCCAACAGCAACAAAACACGGGGCTTCCTTCACCATCAGACTGCATGTCACCTCCTCACCATTTGAACACATTTTACTTTGAGGGGCAACTTTCAGAGGAATCCATATAAAAAGTTCACTGGACTATAAAAGAAAGGAGCAGAAAATTCAAGTTGTCTCTTTCTCTCAAGACATCAAAGAATCAGCATCTCTGGGTCTCTGGAATTGATTCTGACTGGGAAGCAGGTGGGGGTCAGCCACTATAGAAGACAGTGGGAAATAAGCAAGAAGAATGTGAAAAGCTAGTAAATAAACTATGACATAGGAAGAAGTCCTCCAGCTCAACATTATTTTGAAATAAAGGCTTGTAGTGTAGACACGCACTATGTTATTTTGGAATAACGTCAATTACTCTGAAATAACACTGATGTGTAGAGATAGCCTCTGAGACTAACCAAAAAATATTCTAAAATATTCCAAATATTCTGTCATCTGAAGAAGTTGGGTTGTGCCCACAAAAGTCATGATACCATCTACATGTTTTGTAAGTCTTTAATGTGCTACTAGACTATGTGTTATTTTTTTAAGGTTTTCCCTGTTACAGACTAACTCGGCTACCTCTCTGAAGCAAAAAATATTCTTTGCCTCTTGCTCTACTCATCTGAAAACGTGGGTTGTGCCCATAAACACTCACGACATTATATATATATTTTTATTAGTCTCTAAGGATATGTCTACGCTACCACCCTAGTTCGAACTAGGGTGGTAATGTAGGCAACCGGAGTTGCAAATGAAACCCGGGATTTGAATTTCCCGGGCTTCATTTGCATCTCGCTGGGCGCCGCCATTTTTAAATGTCCGCTAGTGCGGACTCCGTGGAACGAGGAGTAACGGTAGTTTGGAATAGGAAGCCTAGTCCAAACTACCTAGTCCGTGCCGCGTGTAGCTGCGCGGCACAGAGTCCACACTAGCGGACATTTAAAAATGGCGGTGCCCAGCGAGATGCAAATGAAGCCTGGGTAATTCAAATCCCGGGCTTCATTTGCAACTCCAGTTGCCTACATTACCATCCTAGTTCGAACTAGGGTGGTAGTGTAGACATACTCTAAAGTGCTCCAGGACCACTCAACGTTTGAGATTTTTTAAAAACTTGTTGAGAGTCTCTGGATAAGGCTAAAAGGGTAAAGGCAAGGTTGATGGCATGCTAGGGGTCTATTACAGACTACTTAACCAGAAAGAAGAGGTGGATGAGGCTTTTTTTAAACAACTAACAACATCATCCAAAGCTCAGGACTTGGTGGTGAGGAGGGACTTCAGCTGTCCAGACATCTGTTGGGAAAATAACCCAGCAGGGCACAAATTATCCAACAAGTTCTTGGAATCTAGTAAAGACATTTTTTTTTATTTCAGAAGACAGAGAAAGCTACTAGGAGGAGGTTGTTCTGCAGTTGGTTTTGACAAATAGGGAAGAACTGATTGAGAATTCGAAAGTAGAAATGAGAAGAGTCCATGATTCTAAGGAATGGTAAAAGGGAGAACAACCAAATAAAGACAATGGATTTCAGGCAGACACTGGGAGCTAGTAGGTAAAGTCTCATGGGAAGCAAAACTAAGTGGAAAAGCAATTGAAGACAACTGGCAGTTTTTCAAAGGGACATTATTAACGGCGCAAGAGAACACCGTTCCACTGCATAGGAAAGACAGGAAGTCTATCAAGAGACCACCCTGGCTTAACCAGGAGATCTTGGATGATCTAAAAATAAAAAAAGTTCCATAAAAAGTGGAAACTAGGTCAAAGTACAAAGGATAAATATAAACAAAACAAGTATGTAGGGGCAAAATTAGAAAGGCAAAAGCACAAAAGGAGCTCAATCTAGCTAGAGACATGAAAGGTAACGAGAAAACATTCTGCAAATATATTAGAAGCAAGAGGAAGACCAAGGCTAGGATAGACTCATTGCTCAATGAATAGGGAAAAACAATAGCAGAAAATGTGGAAATGGCAGAGGTGCTTACTGACTTTTGTGTCACTTTTCACTAAGAAGGTTGATGATGATTGGATGCCTGCAATAGTGAATGCTGGAGAAAAGGAAGTAGGTACAGTAGTAAAAGTAGAAAAACAATTTTAAAAATCACTTAAAGAAGCTAGATGTCTTCAAGTCACCAGGGCCTGATGAATGCATCCTAGAATATTCAAGCAGCTGATAGAGGAGGTATCTGAGCCTTTAGCGATCATCTTTGAAAAGTCATGGACGATGGGAAAGATTCCCAAAGACTGGAAAAGAACAAATATGGTTCCCATCTATAAAAAGGAAAATAAGGATAACCCAGGAACCTACAGATCAGTGACTTCTGTGCTTAACTATAGACTTAACTTCTGTGCCGGGAAAGATAATAGAGGTCAGTGAGGAGACCTGGCTGAGTTGCCGCTGCAGCCCCGTCCATACCTCTTTCAACCGAAGGGATTCCATATCTTCCAGACCCTGTTTAAATCTCCTCTTCTCCATTTCCAGGCGTTCTGAAGGGTAAGAGAGAGCGGATTGCTAAACAAGGTCTCCTAGCGCCTTGCACCTTTCCCCTCGCACTACATATCTCACCATAAACCTTGATGCTCAGACTGAAGGGTCTGGCTCCCCTGTGCCCCAATTCACCCCTGTGCCTGGCTGCCCAGCTCCTCCACTTACCCTCTGCCTGCACAGCCCGCAGTTTCAGCTCTGCTGTTGTGTTTGTCAAGTCTTGCTTCACCTGGAACAGCTGGTCCTGTTGGGCTTTGCACCTTCTTTCTAGCTCATCCACCTGGACCGGAATCACCACCATGGAGTGGAAACAGACAGAGCTTCTGCTTCCACTAGCACGGGGCTAGGTGACTGGCTGTGCATGGCACTAGCCACCAGTGGGAGCAAAGGAGACCTACACACACTCAGCATACTGACAATTACCCAGGAACATCCCATGCTTCAGCCTAGGCTTGTTCTCCTACCTGGTTTCTTAGGAGCAGATTCTTCTCGTTGGCAGCAGATAGGTCCCGGAGAAGCTTTGTTTCCCGATCAGCAGCTTCCTGCCAACAAAGCCCAGGATTAGGAAAGCCCCTCCCAGACCTCCTGATGCCCCACACCCTACCCAGTACCACTTCAACATAGCCCAAGTCCCCAACACTGGCTCTCTCCCACCCATGGTACAGACTGTTCTCCACAGTCACTACTCTGTCCTCCACAGCACTTTACACAATCACCCAATGCCCCAAACCAGAGTCAAATACTGACCAGGCCTGTCCCACCCCCGAACCAGCTTACCTGTTTCTGCTGCCGGAGCTCCTTCAGCTGGCGCTCGTTCATACTGCCTTGCTCCTGCTTTGTGGCAATCAGCAGTTCTCCCAGGTCGTGCACTTTCTGCTCAGACAGAGCCAATGCAGCTTCAGTCATCTGCAGTCTACACAGAAGGCAGAGCTGAGATTTTACTCTTTGTCCCTCCAGAAACACAAAAGCAAACATGATTCTGGGATGCATTCGCTGGAGTGCACAGAATGCTCCATTGTATCAACCTGCGAGGCCCCAACCTGCCCTCTCTCAAAACCCCGAACCTGACCCACTGCCACAGGGAAATTGACAATTGACTGCAGGGAAGTGACTGCCAGTGGCGTCACTGACATGCATGTTGGACTCTCCTGCTGTCATTTTGACAGCTGTACAGTCACATGACAGGGACTGAGTCTGGTGGTTGTGTGTTCTTATGGTTTCTCATGGGGGACATGAGTGCGCCCCCAGATTTGCAAACACGGTGGCACGTCTTGCACATGCAGTCGCTGTGGTGGGCAGGGCTTCAGGCTTGGGCTGCCTTGCTCCCGTCCCCTTCGACCCACTCCAAAGCCCACCCACTTGCCCATTACTTCACCCAGCATGTAAGGGCTTCAGGGCCATCACTGCGTTCAAGCAGTACCCAGCCCAACGGCCCTGATCCTGAGAAGGACCTCCAGGTGCTCACAAATACCCGCTGAAATAGCGAGCCAGCTACTCCCTCCTCTCCATAGCTCTGATCAGCACAGCCTACTTCTCGGACAATGGGAAGACTGGACAGATTCTCTCCTCCGTACTTGGCTTTCAGTGAGTTCATGACAGAGTGCCGCTCAGTCAGGGCTTCCTGTAGCTGGCCAACTCGTGCCGCAGAGGTTCTGAATTGGGGAAATAAAACATTAACATCCCACAATGAAGACTTCCCTCTGAGCCTCCCTAGAAGGGAAGAGTCCAGAGAGTCACTGACCTGCTGGTCCTGGTTATTTCTTCTCTCTGCTTATCAATAGTGTCCATCAAATCCAGGAACTGAGAATGAGACAAAGACCATTGACACTGAACTGCATGAGTCTGCGGCATTTAGACCTGCCTTTCTCTACCCTCTCCCTTCAGGGCAGCCTGGGAGCAACTTCAGCAGATCTCCTGGAAGAAGCCAAATGGGTGATGTGAGGGGTGTCACGACCTGGCTTGAATAGGAACATTGACCCTAGCTAGAGCTTGGCCGCAGAGACGCTGGGCCACAGAGAGGGAGAGGAGTGGAAATCACCTGTGCTAACAACCCCGTAAACTGGAAAGCACTGACCTGTCCCTGTAAGGGATGAATGAAAATGGCAAACAGTGAAATCCTTCGGCTCCCAGGGACAAGTCTGTCAGCCAGGGGAAGTTTCCATTGCATCCAATCTACCTGCTGCTGGACCTGCTCCCAAGGGCCACCTAGCTCCAATCTGCTGCATACCTACTGCAAGCACGGGAACACCAGGGGCAAGTGGCACCTCGCACAGGGCTCCTGGTACTGCACTACTGTGCAGAGACAATCGCAGGAAAGCTAGTGTTGGGGGCTGTCCAGTTCAAGCTGCTGAAGCATTAGGAGACCACTCACCTGCTTTGCCTTCTCCTCCTTCAGGCTCAACACCTCCTTACTGAGCACACGTGTCCGGCTGTGGTTCTCAGCAAGAATGGTCTGACGGTCCTGGTTGTGATCCATGGCTTGTTCTGACCCAGAAAGCACAAGCATAGATACACACGTTATCATAGCAAGAGAGCAGTGAAAAGTTCTGCAGAAGGCCGTTACCCAGAGTTGCAGTAAACTTCTCCATGGACCCTGTTAGAGAGACTGTCCCCACAATACAGGTAGGGCGAAGGACAGAGGGAAGGAAGTGTTCTGTGTTAAAGAAACAGGCTCCAAAATCCACAACACCTCCACAGCTCATTGGGGGCTGTTCTGGGAACTTCCACACTGCACCACAGCCCCAACGGGAGAGTCCCACTGAGGTGGGAGTCCATGACACGACTGCACTCGCTCAATCCCAGCCATCTCCTGCCCTGGCTGGTCTCTGCAGGGAGGGACTAAGGAATGTACACTTAGCACAGCACAGCTCCCTGCAGTGCCTGAGTTCTGCACAATCCCTCCCTTACTAGCAGGCAGGGCCCAAAATGGCTCCTCTCAAAGAGTGGGTGACATGGGGCTACTCTGAGGCCTCATAGAAGACAAAGATTGGAAGCGACCTCAGGAGGCATTGAGTCTAACTTCTGTTCAAAGCAGGACCAACCCCAGCCAGGACTTAAAAACCTCTAGGGACGGAGATTCCACCACCTCTCTAGGGAACCCATCCTAGTACTTCACCTCCCTCCTAGCAAACCAGTTTTTCCTAATATCTAACCTAGACCGCCCCCCCCCCCCCCCCCCACTGCCACTTGAGCTCACTGCTCCTCGTTCTGTCATCTGCTATCACTGAGAACTCCCCTTCAGGTAGCTGCAGGCTGCTCTCAAATCCCCCCTCACCCTTCTCTTCTGCAGACTAAATAAACTCAAATCCCTCAGCCTCTCCTCATAAATCATGTGCTCCAGGCTCCTAATCATTTTTGCTGCCCTCCGCTGGACTCTCTCCAATGTGTCCACATCTTTTCTGCGGTGGGGGCCCAAAACTAGACAATACTGCAGCTTTTTAACAATATCCCAGGGCCGAGAAGAGAGGAATAACTGCTTCCCTAGATCTGCTGACAACACTCCTACTAAGGAAGCCAATATGCCATTAGCCTTCTTGGCAACAAAGTCTTCACCATCCATGCCCCTGTGGTGAGAAGAATGAACATATCTTGCCAAGCCAACACTGGCAACTTACCCACAGCTTTCAGAATGTCACTGGGGATGTTGTTCCCAGCCAGCTCCAGCCTCCGCAAGGTCTTGTTGCTGTGCAGACAGCTCTGTAAGGCTCGGCCCCCCAGAAGCCCAATGCTGTTCCATCGCAAATCTAAAGAAGCAACCAACCATCTCACTGGCAACTTCACCAGCACTATCAGGCCACACTGAATATACTCCTTATGCATGCCAGTCCTGCACAGTGCGTCAGCCCCTCCCAGGAGTCATAGCACAAGCCACCAGCGGGTGCGGTTCACCCATCCGAGAGGGATGGAACAAGACAGGGATGGGCATATAGCAAATGCAGCTTCCTCTAGCCCAGAACTACTCAAACTGTGGGTTGGCACCAGCTGGGGCCTACTGCTCAAGCTGAAGCCGCACTGCACAGGGCTGCAGCAGAAGCCTGAAGGCTGAGCCCTGGGTTGCACCCCCTGCCTGGGTGAAGGGGCTTGGGCGTGCTCCAGCATTGCAGTAACTATTGCTGTCAGAAGGGGGTTGCAGTGCAGTGAAGTTTAAGACCCCCTGATCTATCCTCTCCAGATCCTGTGAAGGACCTGCAATAAATGCTGCACACACTGAAGAGTCTGAGCGGGGAGCCTGAGGGGTGTTCCCATCACGCCATTACTCAATAAACTCCACTTCCTTAGAGAGGCCCCCACAGCCCAGGAGTTTGCTTTTAATTGCAAAACAGCATGGCTGGTAGCAGCCTCTGCCTAGTTAGGGAGGGGAAGGGCAATTCTATCAAAGCTTCTAACTGGGTCTGCAAGGCATCTGCACAAAGAAACCCAAGGGCCTGGAACGAGATGCATGACTGCCAAATCAACAAGACAGCCATAAACGTGGGGCGGGGGGCTGCTCTTCCCATTCACAAGGTACTCATATGTAGAGACTATGCTCCCGTTCCCGAGTTGCTGGTTAGCCCCTGCCTCTCTGAGTCATAGAATCCCTGGGCCACTGGCATAGAGCCTCTGACGGAAAGGGGGTGGCCGCGCTGCAGGGGGAACGGGTCTTGGCAAGGGAGAGTTGCTCTTACCCAGCTCCTGGAGGCTGGAATTGCTTTTCAGGGCCATGGCCAGCTCTCCTGCCCCCTGGTGGTTAACCTGGTTATTGCGCAGATCCAGCCAGTGCAGGAAGCGGTTGGCTCCTAGTCCCTGGCAGAAGAGGGAAAAACCCTCCTCCCACATGCCCAGGCTGTTCCACTCCAAGGTGAGGCTGAGGGGAAAGTTAAACAGAAGCCACAGCTTAATCTAGGAACAAGGAACAGCAAGAAGCTGAAAGGGTTGCCTGAGGGCAGAGGCAGCTGAGCCCTTGTGGGACCCAATTATAGGCCTGCCCTAACCAAAGAGAAGGAAGCTCTCCAGAGTCCACTCCAGCTGTGGCCCAGTGGAGAAGGAAGCTCCCACCCCTGCACCCACCCATGCAGGGACTTTACACCTCACCTTCTGATGGATTTGTTCTGCCTGAGGAGTTTCCCCAAAGCCTCAGCACCCACAGCTCGCAGGTTATTCCCCTGAAACAAACACTGCACGTGAGTGGCTTTCCCTGTCCAGTTTCAGGAGGTGCCAAGGCCAAGCTGTGGTTATGACTGATCAGTTAGCATGTGTGGATAGCACCGGTCTCATTAGCACTAGCCACTAAACCCTGACTCTCCAGCCCTCGTGAGGAAATGCACAGCTCCTGCTGCTGACAGTGTCAAATAGAAACATACTGCCTGGCCTTACTGTGCTGGGAAACACACTCCACACAGTAGGGATGTTAAGTAGCAGCGAATAAGCTAATCGAGCAGTCTATGGAATTTCCATCGACTACTCGATTAGTCGATAAGGGGGTTAGCTCCAGGGAGTGGCACGAGCCAGGACTGAGCAGTCCTGGCTTGTGCCGGCTCTTGGACTGCTGCAGCTCTGCTTTCTAAATGCACCGCCAGGTCCCCAATGTGCCTCTCCCTCCCCTGCCACCCATCCCTCCCCACAGAGACAGTTTTGAGGGGAACGGCTTTTGAGCCAGCTCCCACCAGCACCAGCTCCTGCTCCCCCCACTTGCTGCCTCTGATATAGAGGCTCTTGAGATCTGGGGGCTGTTTGAACGTTTCACCTATAATGGCTCATCTGGCAGCAGAGCGAGACATGATGGATGGTTGGGAATTCACTCAGAATGACACCATCTCCTAGCAGAAGACTGTCTTTATTGGGGGGGGGGGGGGGGGGGGGGAGGGGGCGGTAATTTTTTAACACACTCAGGCTAATGAAATTTTGGGTTGTACATATAAAGGAAACATATGACAGACCTGGGGCAGACAGTCCCTTTCACATGCAATTCTGGTGTAATAAAGTGTACAGTTCTGCAAACCACTGATAAATTGGAGGGAATTCATAGAAGAGCAGAAATACTAAGAGACCTAATATGTCTAGTTTGACCAAACAGCAGCAAAGGAGACACACTGTAATAATTGCCCATGAGTACATAAAGGATGGGCTGATCTATGAGAAAATTGAACCATTTGTAAGCAATGTCTACATGATGAGCTATAGTGCATACACTTTCTACACTGATGGAAGGGTTTCTTCACCAATGTAGAAGTCCTGGGGGAATTCTGCAATTTTACTATGTCTCCAAATGTAACTATTGCAGAATTCCCCCAGGACTAAATAGCTAAGCCATTTCCCAAGCAGCAGTTGCTAGGTCAAAGGAAGAATTCACATCTACACTGAGGATTAGGTGGATTTAGCTACAGCACTCAGGGGTGTGAATTTCCACCTTTCTGAGCAACATAACTAGGTGATCTCAATTTTACATATTGATCAGGGTGTAGTTAAGGGGGACTTAAAGAGATTGAGTTAAACTGCTGCAAAAGGCTTTGTGGACACATTTCAGATTAAAACAGTCTTAATTCACTGTAACTTAAGTCAAGTAGAAACAGTTTTAAACTGAACTGAATTAAGCCATTATTAAAATGAAATAAGTGTGTCTACATAGAAGTTTGCACTGGTTTAAATGAATCAGTTTTAAAAATGCTATATTAAAAGCATGTAATTTCTGTATGTAGACAAGGCCTTATCAATGGATACCAAGGAAAACCTTCCTGCCAGCGAGTTCCACCAAGCAGTCTCCCTAAGACAGGGGTGTCCAAACTTTTTTCAAAGAGGGCCAGATTTGAAGAAGTGAACATGCGTGAGGGCCGTCCCCGCACTCTCAGCCCCAAGGCGAAGGGTCTGCGGGGTCGGAGGCGGGCGGAGAGCGCAGGGCACGCCGGCCTCACGGCGGCCCAGGGGGCAGGGCGAACCTGCAGCCGAGCGGGGCTGCGGACGTGCCCTACAGGGCAGGCTCTAGGACCGCGGAGGCCATGGGCGGTGGCGGCGGCGCGGCCAGAAGCGGCGCGCTGGACGCGCCAGTTCAAAAGAGCGCCGGGGAGCCAGGAGAGGGGGAGGAAGTGGGGGCCGTATTAAACTGGAACATGGGTCCGCAATTGGCCCACGGGCCGGACTTTGGACATGCCTGCCCTAAGAGAAGGGCTAGGAGCCCCATGAAGTGAGGCAATTACAAAGGGCAGGACACAGCATTAGGAAGTGAGAGACAAGGAACAATCCTGCACTAGCCCCCTCCATTGGTGATGGTCTTTCCATCCCCAATTCCCACGAGAGCTGCATCTCTGTCACCTCCTCAGCAGCTTTCTTGGTGTTGAAGGCCAAGGCTTGTGCTCAGAGATGCTCAAATAAAGTCAAATACACGCACCTTCAAGTCCAAAGATTTTACTACGGTGTTGGAGCAAAGTCCATTCAGCAGATGTCTGACCCCTGTGAAAGAGAAAAAGTCATTTATATTTCACGCAGGTCTTGCTACACTTTAAAGGTGAAAGTGGAGCCCGGGGTCAGCTGGGGACTCCCCGCTGTCCTTGGGCTCCGTGTACCACTGCCACTTCGAAATGCTGCAGGAGCCAGAAGTCAGGCTCCCCGCAACATTTAAAAGTGGCAGTTGCACATGGAGCCCAGGATCAGATGACTCTAGGCTCCCATGGGGGTGTTCCAAAGCAGCAGTGCCACACGGAGCCTGGGATCAGCTGGGGACTCCCCGCTGACCCCGGGCTCTGTGCAGCACTGCCATTTTGAAATGCTGCAGTGAGTCTGACACCAGGCTCCCACGGCGGCATTTCAAAGCGTCAGCGCAGCGTGGAGCCCCAGGTTTGGCCCCAGGCTCCACCCAGTGCTGCTGCTTTGAAATGCCCCCTCTTTTCCCCCTGTCTTGTTGCCTCTTTCTAATAGGCAGCAAAGGGGTGGGGAGCGACTAGTTGACAAACTTGTTGACTATCCAATAAGCAAATGCTTATCAGACAGTTGACCAGTCATTCACATCCCTAAAGTGGAGTACTTTGCATTTGTCCTTATTAAATTTCATCCTATTTACCACAGACCATTTCTCCAGTTTGTCCAGATCATTTTGAATTATAACCCTATCCTCCAAAGCACTTACGACCCCTCCCAGCTTGGTATCATCTGCAAACTTAATAAGCGTACTCCCTCTGCCAGTTACAGACTCATGTGGCTACCCCTCTAAACCTCGTCCCCCTGGCAGCCCCAGTCAAGGAGAGACAGCCACAGGGATAAACTATTTAATTGGCAAGTAACTAAAGTGCTGCTGGAAAGCGCAAACCTGACCTGGAGACTTCTCCTTACACACAGACCTGCTAGAGCTTCAGTAGAGGCTTTTCATGAGCTCTGCCATGGTCACAGAATTGGTTTGCAGAACCTTCTAGGAGCTAGGAGGGACTTTAGACTCAATGACTTATTCAGCCTTTGGTCTTTGCTGATCAGGTGGTTTGTGTGATGTGGACACTTCTCCTCCAGATTTGGGCAGAGACCTCCCACAACATTTAGCTGCTACTGACTTGGCCCACACTGAAACTAGTGATCCAGGGTAAAGGCTCCAAGTGTCATTTCCAGTCTCCTGAGCTGCTAAAAAGTAAATTCAGCACCTGCATCTGTCACCAACACCTCTTGCTGCTACAGGGCTAATTTCCAGATGATCAAGCTAGCATGCTAAAAATATTAGCAACACTTAGCAGTATTGGTGGCAGCTCAGGCTTGCAGCCCAAGTCCCATCCTGCCAGAACTTAGCTATGAATTCAGGAGGCTAGTCCAAACCACTACCTATTCCCCCCATTACTCTGCTATTTTTAGCATACAAGCTCAAGCAAAACTGCCTCATGTATGAGCTGGAAATTACACCACTAGCTGCAGCGTATACCTGGTGTATGAATGGAGATGTACAACAGACAAGACCTCCCAGGCACAGGGAATGTGCTTGGCATATGTCGCAGGGAACTGAGGGAATCACCAAAGCTGATAATCAGTTTCAGACAACACTGTGGCCTCTTTTAGCTCAGCACAGCTAGAATCACACCTCATGTTCCAACTGAAGATAGCTCCTCTCCTTCCTCTTGCTAGTGAGGGGCCCAGAAGAGCTCTGACCATTTTATTTTTCTGAGGTAGCTGTACTCTATCTACAGGGATAGTGCAGTGGCAGAAACCCAGTTGTAGACTGTTAGGTGGTTGAGGCACATGGTGAGTCCTCTTTCTAGAGACACCAGACTGTGTCCAAGCCTGACTATATAGACCCATATTTAAGACATACTTTTCTGATAAAGCCTGTGCCCAACATGAACACCCACAACAATAAAAAGCCCTGCACATGCATCCATACCCCTGGAATGAGGGGGTGGAGAGTAAAGATATCGGCCATTTGAGACTCTGAAGTTTAATCTTAATTGTGTTCAGTTAACCTTCACTAAGCATTTAAGCAGTGCAAGGAGTTTTCACAGCTCAGATTTCTTATTCTGCTCACAAAATAGTTTGTATGTGGTGGCAGTAAATGTCTCAAGCCCCAGTCCTGATCAGAACAAGGTCCACCACCTACCACAACATCATTAATTGAAACACATGAAGGAATTTTGCTTTTGAGATAAGATTAGTTAACTAAGAAAATATACCAGTTTTCAAAGCTCAAACAACTTGGTGAGGGAAAAAAGTAAAAACTGCAAACAGAGTATGTGGATTCATGGGGGCTCAAAGAAAACAGTTTATAGCAGTAAATGTGAAGCCAGGAGATTCAAACACACAAATTCTGATTAGCGAGAATCCTGGCTAATTCCCTGGGCATAGTGCTGCAGTGTGGCCCATGAGTGCACATTTATTCACTCTTCAAAGCAACTGCTTCAAGAATCTGATGTTCAGCCTGAACCTGACTTCCAGTAGGGATGTTAAAAATCATTGAATACGTTAACCATCTATCTGCTAAAATTCTTAGTGGTTACATGATTACACATGTAGGCTTTGCTGCCCTGCTACAGTGAAACCAAAGCCACCTCCCTGCGAGCTGGCTGAGTGTAACTGATAAGCATCAGCATCAGGTTAAACAGTTAATTGATTAAACTCTCTCCCAGATCTCACAGTTCAGAGGCAGAGCACACATGCAAGTGTCTCCTCATGGGCAAAGAGCCCCACCTTCCTCGTTGAGCATGCAGTCACTTAGCGTGATCTCCGTAAACAGGGTCTCATCCTGTAAAAGCTTCCCTAAGACTCTGCACGTATCTACTGAAAGGCTCTGAGTGGCCAAATCCAAGCGGCTTTGTCCTGATACCTCCCGGAGCTCATGCAGCTGCTGCAGGACTGTCTCTTGTGGCTCAGCATGACTCTCCTTGCATAACTGGGCATAAGCCCTTCGGAACTCTTCCATTGCCACGGCAGATGCTCATGCCAGTCCCGTCGTGTCCTCTGCATGAGCAAGGGCCACGCTGGCCTCCGAGAAGAACAGGGAACACAGGGATACCTGTGGACAGTAAAGGCTTTACTGTGAAAAGCAAGAAGCAATTATCCTTGGGCTGTAGAGCTTGGTCTGAAGGTCTCTCATAATCCTGACTGATACAAATAGTGCTAAGCTCTACCCCATGCACACCCCACCTGGAGCCCTGTAAGACACCGTCCTAGCGCCACTCTCCAAGGATAGGGAGAAACTACAGCCTCTTCTCATGTGCCCGTTGATTGTTACTGGGATACAGCCCGCACACACCCTGTAACTAGGAAGAGCAGAGCATGCTGGGGATAGTAGTTCTGCTCTTCCCCTCTTTCTCCCTCCCTCCCTGCACCAGTAATCTGAAGAGGAGGCATGCTGGGAGCTGTAGTACAGAGCCAAAGTTAGACAATACAGTGCAGCCCCATCTCAGTGTGTGGCCACCCTCAAATCATCACCATGACACAGGCTAAAAAGTAAATCTGTTTTCTTTTAATCTTTGGATTTGCTGACTCCTCCCAAGCCTCTCCAGAGCGTACTGGAGAATTCAAGTTGAAAAATCAATTTTTCATGCTCACAGAAATGCACACCCCTCCCTGCGGCTCTGACCACATACCCTCTCAGCACCCCAAAGACTCAGTAACCCCCAGATCCCCATTGACTGTTACTTTTGACTCTTCAGCCTCATTTTCTACTTTCTCCTAAACTGCCCCCCTCACATTTTCCTGCCTTCCTGTAGTCACCTCACCTCTAAGATTCACCTCACCTCACACAAGGATTCGTTGTTTTATGAGAATATATACTGTGCAAGGATTATAAAATGAAGCTGAACAAAGACCACCCAAGAAATATAGAGCATTCTCCCTATGGATTAAGTTTTCAAATTATCAGTTAAGATTTTTGTGGACTGTCTTTACCACATCAACCATCTTGCTAATTGCTGGAAAGCCATCTCTCAAGCAGAGCTTTCCATATCTCAGTTTTACATTTTCAATCGTAAATATAAAACAATTTTAAATAATTCTACTTTCTTTGTATAACTTTAACTACATAAATAAGCTTTCTGGTGATTACATTATTTAATTCTAAAACCTCATACAATTGTCCAAATAGTTAAAATAGTATATTTGTATTACTCTTCCCTCTCACTGGTCCAGTACTTCCACTCTGCTGGGGACCAAGAAGCATTCCCCCCAACTATCCCCACCCTGTCTTCCTCCATCCACCTCAGGATGTGCAGCTGCTGGTCCCAGGCAAAGCTGAACTGAAGGGGCAGAGGGAGGAGTCACAGAAAAGCTGTGCTTGGGCCAAGTAAAAGACCACTGCTCCAGAATTTCTACAGCAGGCTAGGGTAAGGATGTTAAATTGCAGTTATCTACCTAATCAGATAGTCAATACAATTTGTATCAACTATACGATCAGTCGATAGGACCGCTCTGCAGAGCCACAGCATGAGTAGCTCCAGGAGCCGGCTCGAGCCGGAACTGAGCAGTCCCAGCTCATGCCAGCTCCTGGAGCCACCCTTGCTGCAGGTTTGCATTTGAAATGTAATAAGCAGGGCTCACCGAACTGCGGCGAGCCCCGCTCGCCAGCCGTGCTGTCCACCGTTCTGCACGTGCGCAGATCGCCCGAACCCGGCTCTTCTGGGTTACAATCTACTCACCATGGGCGAGTAGATTGTATTATTTGTCTAGCCCTGGTAATAAGTAACCAATAAGAATTCATGAGGTTAACTGACTATCCAATTAACAGAGATTTAACATCCCTACTGCAGGCTCCAGGGCCCTCCTCAGGCCAGGCAGCAGCTGTGCCCCAGCTACTCCCTCTGAATTACTCCTGGACACAGTCCTTTTCTGTAGAGTCAAGCCATAGAGACGAGGAGTCCTGTGGCACCTTATAGACTAACTGAAGTGTAGGAGCATAAGCTTTCATGGGCAAAGACCCACTTTGTCACATGCATCTGACGAAGTGGGTCTTTGCCCACGAAAGCTTATGCTCCTACACTTCAGTTAGTCTATAAAGTGCCACAGGACTCCTCGTCGCTTTTGCAGATTCGGCTACCCCTCTGATACTTGAAGCCATAGAGAAAGGCACAGCTCTGGTGGCAAGGGCACATCTGAGTCTTCTTTTACAGAGCTCTGGCTGTGTGTGCAGGCAAGAGAATCAAGGAAAAGTAGAATAGTAATAGAAATGTAGCCGTGTTAGTCTGGTGTAGCTGAAGCAAAATACAGGGCTATGTAGCACTTTAAAGACTAACAAGATGGTTTATTAGATGATGAGCTTTCATGGGCATTTTTTTAAATTGTATCCTTTGGTATATATGGTTGTGAATATTTTCTTCCACTACTTGATCTGAGGAAGTGGGTCTGGCCCACGAAAGCTCATCATCTAATAAACCATCTTGTTAGTCTTTAAAGTGCTACATAGTCCTGTATTTTGCTTCAAGGAAAAGTAGGGTCATTTTGTTTCAGCTGTACAGTTCCTCCTGCAGGCACCACAATCCCTTGATTCACAATTTGCCAGAGTTAGCAATTGGTAACATCCATGTGGCAACCACAGCAATTGTTCATGTGGGGAAACTCCAGCAAAAAAATAATTTATGTATTATTAACCTTTGGTCACGATACATGTCTTGGTCTGTGGCAGGAAACATCCCAAGGTGCCATCTTTACTCTGCAGATTGTCACCTTTTATTGTTTTTTAAAAGTCTGTCATACGCAAACTGAGTATGAACTGATTCAGCAACATCTACCTCAGGCCTGCCTGGTCAACACAGAGATTTTGTATCATTGTAACTATGTAAATAGGGGTGGGTTCCTTTACTGAAATAGGTAGGCTGGATGTGGATTGAGTGTCAACATTATAAAGGTACTTTATGCTCTTGTAATTTATTCCCCTTCCCATAGGGGAATGAAGTATATTAGCATAAATGCTTCCATACTACTGTCAACGCAGCTACACTGTATCAGTGGAACACCACTGGCATTCCTAAAGCATGTGTGTAGACAAGGCTTGTCTATGTTTGAGGAGAGCCTGACACGAAAGCACTGTGAGGAGTTATCTGTCCCTAGTCACCTCCCTGCTGCTAACTCAGTTACCAGCCCTGATGCTTATAATGCCAGTGCGGTGGGCACAGGAGGGCTCA